GCAGGCGCGCGCCTCTTGGTCCCACCCACTAGCTCCGCCCCCCGGAGAAGCCGCCCCACCCAGCGGTGGAGGCTGGAGACGCGCGCGCACTCCAGGTCCCTCCCGGGAGCGCCGCCCTCTTGGGCGGAGTCCTGAGGCCTCCAGTCCCGCCCTGTGGACAGAGCTTCTTGTCCTCTCTTGGCAGGAGCCTTGGGCTTCCCAACCGTGGAGAGGGGAGGGCTGCGGCCTGTGAGTTTGGGAGAAATCCGAAAAGTATAGATTTGTTAGCTCCCAAGAGGAAAAGAAATACAGAAACTGGGCCTAGGATTCAGCTCAGAGGTTCCACCGCCTGCCTCTCAAGCACAAGGACCTGAGTTCGATCCCAGGTACAAAAAAAAAAGAGAAAACGGAAGAAATACAGAAACTGATAGCCATACTTGTTTAAAGTCCTCTAAGTGACCCTAAATGTTGCAGTTTCTTTCTTTTTCTTTTTTTTTTTTTTTTTTTTAGAGACAGGTTCTGACTGTGTAGTTGAGACTGACCTGGAACTCACTATGTAACCCAGGCTTGTCTTGAACTCACAGCGATCCTCCTGCTTCAGCTTCCCGAGTGCTGGGATTACTTACAGGTGTGCGCCACCACGCCTGGCATATTGCAGTTTCTTAAAACCCTAAACATGCCTCGCGTGCGTTGTGGTGCACACCAGTAATACTAGCGATTTGGGGCCGAGGCAGGAGGATGGCAAGTTCCAGCCAAGCCCAGGCAACTCCGACACTTAGGGAAACCCTGTCTCAAAAAGAGGGCGGAGATGTAGCTCAGTGCAAAGGCTCTGGTGCAATCCTCCTTGCAAACAAAACAAAACAAAAAATAACAACAACATACAGTAACCAGCAATTTCACTCATAGATAGCTTCTCGAGAGAAACAGATAAGCATTCAAGACCAGAACGCTAAGATACCAATGTTCACAGCAGTTTTATTCTTACTCAAAAGCTAGGAACCGTCCAGACGTCCATTAGCTGGTAATGACAGTAGCAAACTGTAGCGCAGCCAGGGACAGACGCAGGACATTCACTCAGCGAACGGAGGTCATGGCTGTTGACACACGTTTGGCCTTGCATTTTAGAGCTGTCCCTCCGTGTGACCCAGCCCGCGATTTCATAGAAATCTCAAGACATCACAGGAAATAGCCTTCCTAGTCCACCTGCCTCACCTTTGGGCTGCATCCCAACCGCTGGAAATAATTTGACCCAGGTCATCTAGAAAAGCAACAGTTTTTTCTTTCAAATTGCAATATAGCCAGGGTTCAGTGTAGAATTGGGTGACCAATGGCTCTAGAATGGAAGCGTCAGTTATGATGCCATTCTCCAGTTAGGTATTTTTTTGCAGAGGATGAGGAAATGATCCGACATGGTATTTAGGTTCAGAGAAAAGGCCTCCAAAATCCTCACATTTGGAGTTGAAGCCTGGCGGATCACTACGGTGTGCTGTAGAAGGGTAGATTCTCATCCCTGGCTCTTCCCTTCTTTCCTGGTGTCTGGCTAGATGAGTTGAGCACCTTTTATTCTGCTATGGCTCTCTGCCATCCTGTTCCTGTCTTGGGGCCAGCTGAGTGTGGACCGAAACCATGAGCTGGAATAATCTTTCCTCCTTTAATCTGTGGGTGTTGGGTATTTTGTGCCGAGGCCACACACACACACACACACACGCGCACACACGCACACCTACACGGGCCTTTACTGTACTCCTAAACTTTGTAAGGGACCATGAGTCACGGTGGCATGAAGTACTACAGAAGGAGCTACAACAGACCTTCTCAAACACCCACTGTCTCTCAGAGGGTTTACAGACAAATGCAAGCTGTGGCTGCCAGCCATGGGCTCCAGAAGAACCCAAACCACCCCGATATCCCCCAATTTATCTCAAACTTCCTCAACTAGAAAAAGAGCATTGTGGTCCGTAGTCACGGCAGGGTTTCCTTCCTCTAAGGAGCTAATGCCATCCTTTCACTTTGTGAGAAAGCTGGGACAGAGAGAACCACTGTAGTCCATGAGCTTTTCCCTGTAACCAGCACACAACAACATCAAGAAAAGTGGGGTCATTTCTCAGAGGATCCCTCCAGATTTGCAGACAGATTGCAGTCCCTGGAATTGGCCTTTGACTTATCCTGGAGGATTGTTCAACTGGTTTTGACTACTTGTTGAACTCCAGGGGGGAAAAAGCAAAAGAAACAGATGAGGGATTTTCAGTCCTTTCAAGGCACAATACTTCGATATGTACGCGACATTCTTGTCTACTGCCCAACCCAGGAAAGATCTCACACCAGTACAACCTTAACCTTAAATTTCCTACCAAACTGGGGTTATAAGATCTCAACAAAAGGCCCAGATTTTGTCACAAAATTTCAATAGTGAGGTTATATCATCACCCCAGGCCTAAGACAATTGTCAACTGAAAAAATACAGACTGTCTCTGACCTGGCTCCCCCAGCCACCAAGAGAAAGTGCCAATTGTTCTTGGGGATGGCTGGCTTCTGAAGAAATTGTGTTTTAGGTTTTTTTGTTTTGTTTTCTTTTGTTTTTTGGTACCAGGGATCGAACTCAGGCCCTTGTACTTGTGAGGCAGGCTGCAGAATCACTGAGCTAAATCCCCAGCCCTAGGCTCCTGAAGAATTTGGATTTCAAATTTCAGTTTAATGCCAAACTCTGTATGTGTAGATATATAGGGACCACATCCTAACTCCCACAGTGGACAATCAAGCCCAATAAACTCATTCAGCAGGCCCTAATATATGAGCAATGGCCTTAAAATACAGTTTACAAAAATCTTTTTCTTTTCATGACTGAGGAAAGGGGTGTCACCTTGGAAGTTCTAACTCAAAAGTTGAGCCACAAACCCTAGCCAATAGCCTACTTGTCAAAATAAGTTTGATGGGGCCTGGAATTTCGATCCCAGCACCAAAAGAAAAAAAAAAGGTTTGATGGTTGGCTAGAGATTTTGCTCAGTGGCGCTGCTTCCAGCCTCACAAGCACAAGGTCCAGAGTTTGACACCCTCCTCACCAAAAAAGTTTGATGGAACAGTGGCCAGATGACCACTCTGCGTGTCAGCAGTGGCTGCTGGGCCCTGTTGACTGATAAGCCTCCAAACTAATGGCGAGACAAAAGATGGGGGTTCTTATCCCACACCGAGTAAAATCCTATATTCTTAAGCTGAGGGACACATGTGGTTAAAAGGGGAAAGACTTACTAAATATAGGGCAATGCTTCTAGGTAACTGAAATAACTATTATGAGTCTGCAACCCTCTTAATCTCATTTGTCTAACGCCTCTCCCATCAGACAAAGTTAAGTCACCTGTGTGAGGAGGTGATTTCTCAGACCTAAGCCAGCAGGAGTGACCTCTCAATAATGGATCCAGAGGAAGAATGGTTCACAAATGGTGGTAGTTCTTTCAAAGATGGAGAACAGGGAGCAGGATGTAGTGAGCTAACAGAAGGTCACTGAGGGTCTCCCACTTCCCCCAGGCTTCAGCTCAAAAGGCAGAGCATACTGCCCTGGCTCCACCATTAACTCTGTGCAAAAACAAAACGTTAAATATGTATACTGACTCTAAATATGCCTTCTTAGTGCTCCATGCCCCTATGGCCATCTGGAGAGAGACCTCCTTACCAATAGACATTCTACTATTAAATGCAGATGAGAGATCTTATCAAAATATACAGCTGTCACTCAATGCAGAGGACATCAAAGGGTGCGTCCTTAGTTTCAAAAGGAAATTAAAAGGCAGCTCAGGAAACCAAAGAAGCAGTTTTAATGCCCAATAATTAGCTCTGTCCCATATTCCTGGGGTTTCCCTCCAACCAAACTATAGCCCCAAAGAACAGGTGTGGGAACTTATGCGATCCCTGGCTATAATCAGGGAGGAAATTAGTGCTTCTCCAAGAGTCCTAGTGGAAAGCCATTAGGAGAATGGGGTGAGATGCTATCCTAGGTGTGGTAAATCAAATTTTTGCTGGTGGAAAGCTAGCTGTCATCATTCAACAAATATGCCAGAGTTGCCCTCTTTGTATCTATAATAACCCAGGGAGTTTCCAACCCCCTTCTCTCTTGGAAGAGAAATATATCCTGAGAAGACTAGCAAATGGATTTTACCTACATGCTACCATGCTCAGGACATAAATAACTATGGTACTGCTTGACACCGTTATGGGCTGGATAGGAGCCTTTCCAGCTCACATAGAAAGAGCCACAGAAGTAACCACTCGAAGAGATCATTCTTTCTTTGGGACTCCCTCAGTCTTTGCAAAGTGAGAATAGACCATTTTTTACTCCCCACATCATCCGGGCAGTAGTTGGGGTTCTTGGTATAAAGGTTTACCTCCATTTGTCTTGGAGACCCCAGTCCTTAGGAAAGGTGAAAGAGCTAATTGCATTCTAAAAAGGACCTTGGCAACTGAGACTTAGCATTCTCACCATAACCCTCTTAAGAATCAGAAATACCCCAAGACAGGCCTAAGAGGATGCCCACATGAAGTGCTGTATGGAAGAGCTTTTGTATGTGGAAGTAGACCCTGAAGTTGTTAGGCCTTTTTAGTACCTTAGCAATCTATGCCAAGGACAATAGACTATCCAAGGACATGTCAGTGATGCCCTCACAGCTCATCAACAAGAGGGGTCAATAAAAATCCAACCCAGGGATCAGGTCTTATTAAAGACCACTTAAAACCTAAACGGAAAGAGCCAGTTGAGGCTGTCTTAGCTACTTACACAGCAGTCCAACTAAGAGTAATAGAGCCTGGCTCCACCTTTCCAGCGTCAAACCAGCCCCTGCTGAAGCACCAGCATTGATGGTATAAAGCCTGCATACCCATGTGAACCAGAACTCAGTAGAATTCAGGTTCCTATTAAAAAGAAACACTCTGAAAAAACCCCACATCTTCTTTATCCAGTCTCCAGTTGATGGGCAACTGGGCTGTTTCCAAGTTTTAGCTATTTCAAACTGTGCTGCTATAAACATGGGTGAGCACATATCACTGTGGTAGGGCTCTTTTAATTCTTTTGCAAAGATACCCAGCAGATGAATAGCTGGGTCAAATAGGAGCTCTAACCCTAGTTTTTTTGAGGAATCTCCGTACTGATTCCCACAGTGGTCGCACCAGTCTGCCCTCCCACCAGCAGTGGAGAAGGGTTCGTTTTTTCCATGGAGCACTACTCAGCCATAAGGACTGAGAAACTAGAGATTTATAGCTAAATGGATCCATATCAAATGCATCTTACTCTTAAGTGAAATAAACAGGACACACGTGTAAATACTGAATAGTTTCTCTAGTGTGAGAAACTGAAAGTGTAAATAAGGATCAAAATGTATAATAAACAGTGTGAAATAGGAAGAAAAGGTCCAAAGGGGAAAGGGAAGTGGGAGACGTAGGGGAAAGAAAAGAAGGGAAAGGAATAAATATGAGAAAAGGAAGAAACAGAAACAAAGTCTTTGTAAACCTGGAGGGGTGGAGGGGTGGAGGGGTTGAAGAGAGGGCAGGGAAATGGGGAAAAAAGTAAGAACTAAGATACATCATGTAAAGGTACAAATTCCCAAAGATGAATGTCATCATACTGTATACCTAAAATGTACCAATGAACTTAATAAAGAATAATGAAAAAGAAACCCTAGCCTACAAAAAGTAAAATCTGAACTCCTATGATAATCATATGTCTAAATTTTGTGACATTTTCTTAAATGCTCTTGCTAACTGTAGCCTAGACATATTTTCAGATTCTAATGTATCTCTAAACTCCACCTTAGATCTTTTCCTTATATGGGGATCTCCCTGACTATACAGGGAAGAAATCACAACTTTTTAGAATTAGGATCCCAGAGCTCCCGCAACACTAGTGGCCTCCAATTCTGGGACTGAGGTTTTGAGTTTGTGTCGTAATCTTTATTATCTTTACTTTTGAAGACGGCTCACATAAAACATACAGCTTCACTCATTGCAGAGGACATCAACAACTATGTACGTAGTATCAAAAGGAAATCAAGAGGCCGAGCAGGAAATCTTCCAGAACTAATCCTCTGGTGCCACCTGTAGGCTGTACCTCACTGTGAAACTCTGCACTCTATTTTCTAGTCTGCCTATATTTTACACCTGTTTTCTTCCTACCTAGTTGTCCTTGCCTCCCATGATGCAGCAGGCTGTTTTCTATCTAAACCCAGATACCTCTCACTCCAAATATATGAGTTGGTGGGTCTGTGCCCCCAGGTAAAGACATAGCTCTCCAGGCCACAGATACTGACTGGACATTTCAGGAGATCACTCTTCATTATAACTATTTTAATAAGTCAATTTGGGTGTTAATGTAAGGGCAGATTTAGAAGTTAGAGGCTTTGTTTTACCCAGTCTGGGCTGTCTTGTCTCTGGTCTCGTCCCCAAAATAGCTGTTTCAGCACCTCAAGCTGTCCCAAACCCCTGACACCTGTCCATTTAATAACTGCAATTTTTTCCATCAGCCTCATGATGAACAAGAATCAAACTGCCTTAAACTTAATGAGTTTCGGGGATGGAATGAAACCCAAGATCTCCTAACTTGGAATCATACTTCTGGAGTGTCTGCGTGTCTAAATCCTCTAGCAGGTGTGCCTGCCGTAGCAGAGAATTATTCAGCCTATGAGACATGAAGTTCATACAGTACCGAAGCCCCCGAGCACTGTGGAGTAATCTCTCTATTATCCTGCCTAAACCCTAAAAATAATACCCACTTCCTTTGTGAGACTATAGCCTTCTTATGCCTTCCCCTAAAATGGAGGGGCACTGGAACGCTGGTTTACATTCTTTCTAAGCTAAACTTTCCTAACTCCCCAGTGCCAGTTCATCTCTCTCAAAACATCCAGGGATCTATCATTAGTTGCATTAAGAGGGCTAAACCAGTCTCCCTTCTGGAGCTTCTAGGAATCCTCATGAAAATAAGGGCAAGAACAGTAGAACTAATGCATTTTCTGGTCCATACCTAAATCCTAGCATTGGCCTGACAGAGGTCACCATGCCACTTCAAAGGGAGGCTGACTCCCTAGCTGAACTTGTCCTCCAAACCTTGGGGAACCTGATCTCCTTAAAGCCAACCAAGAAGGTACTTGTGCCATCCTAAAAGAAGAATGCTGCTGTTTTATTAATGAAATTGGCCAAGCTAGAGATAACCTTGATTCTATCAAAACGAGCCAAAGACAATCAGGATCATTAGGAAAACTGGGGAATTGATGGCCAAATTGGAAATTCAAATGTCTGGCTCTGGTTCTCCTAACTGGCCTCTTTTGTTGGATCTTTCATAACCATAATCCTCCCCCTAACCTTCGGACGTCGCTTACTTAATCTCTTACCCTCATTTTATTTTCCAGATTACAACAGCACCATGCCAGGCTAATTCTAGTGTACGGATTTCAGCCTATCCTGCCAGAATTCAAACCAGAAGGGCTAGAGAGTCTCCTCAACACTTAGATAGTGTGACACAGCCATGGTCCCCTATCAGCAAGGACAATGCCCCCTCTCAACGGGAAGCAGCTACTTCAGGCTTTTTTTTTTCTTTTTATTACTTCAGGCTTTTGATGTCCTATAAAGATTCATGAAGATCATGTCGCTGAGGGGGATGGTGAGGCAAGAGATGGACAATGTGGGAAATATCCTGACCTTAGACTCATAGTAAACAGGATGCCTTCTGGCTCTTGGAGACCAAAAGAGTGTCTTGCCCTAGCTGCATCTGGCATCGGCCTAAGAGAGATGGTCCTGCTCTCGCCATGCTTCCTTGACTTCTGGCATGAGCCCGGGGAGCGTGCAGTCTATTTGAGAGTAGCAGAGGATAACCTCACAGATATTATAATATCATTAGCACGGCAGCCTTGTCCTCCTTGGTGGCCTTTGGCAGCCATGTTGGTTCCAACGAGGTCCGGATGAGTTTGAAAACCCCTGTATGAGGGTGAAGACTTTCAGTTCATTGCAAAGACTTCTGTTAGGTACCATCCTGGACCCCGAGACCCAGGAAAGGTCCCAGTAAATACTTCAGAACATGCAGCAGAGGGGTGTGCTCTGAGGCAAGCTTGCTCTTGGGCTTTCTCATCAGCTTGTTCCCCTTGGTAGCGTGTACCTTCCTTTCAATAAAGACCTCTGCTTTCTTTTACTTCTGTGTGTCCTGCTGCGGCCTTTGTTTTGGATAGCAAGAGCGTGGGTATAGAGTAAGATGGGGCTGGCTAGCTGGTAACAAAACCGCAGGAGCAGAACATTTTCATGGACTGAGAAAGTGTTACCAAAGGAAAATCTAGCTTCACTTGCTCTCAGTCAGCTTAAAACCCACTAATTTTGAAGGTCGCACGGCGGTGCTATACATTAGCAGTGCCCGGCTAGCTTTGCTGTAGCAACACTTCTAACGTGTGGGTCATGGCAACAGTATCCGGGTTACTACCTGAGGCCAGAAGGCCACTCTTGCTGCAAACAGTAACCCTTTACTTGAGCCTACGGACATCTGATGTGTGACTAAAATGTGACAAAAGACTTTGCATATCTATAGTCATACTGTCTGTTTCCTCTGCAGTCTTAACCCATGGGTCAGACTCTGTTTGGCTTTGATGTGGGCACGCTGATCATTTAAAAATGTCTCATCCGAGGCCATAATACAGGGTTACCTTGGCCTATTGCTGGAATATGTTTTCTTTTTCTTTCTCTCTCCCCTCTTTTCTGCCCCACCTGTGCGTCTTATATAGCAGCCCAGGCACCTCAGGCATCTCTTCTAAGGTAGCAAAACCTCTGCATCTTCACTTTGCTGACCTCCTCAGGCTCTGACTGGTGACACTTTGACCCTATCGTGGGGCCCAAACCCACAAAACGGGGGTGTTTTATACAGGATGATGGAGCCAGATATCCAAAAGTTCAACATCCTCCAGGACAAGTTGCCCATGACTGCCTGGTGGTCCAAGTCTTTCATAAGAAGAGACATCTGGTCAGGGTATGCAAGCACAAGGACCCGAGTTCAATCCCTGGGAGGAGGAGGAGGAGGAG